CACAGATTCTGACTCAGCAGGTCTAGGGAAAGCCCAGGACTCTGCATTTCTAGTAACCACCCAGGACCACACTTTGAGCAGCAAGATTGTGGACCAGTGGTTTCCAAACTTGCTGCACATTGGAATCACCTGGAGACCTACAGTTAAGGTGCAGATTCTGATTCAACAGCAGGTCTGGGGTGGGGCCTGAGACTCTGCATTTCCATCCAAGTTCCCAGGTGATGGATGCCTATGCTGCAGCTCTGCCAGCCACAATTTGAGCAATGAAGTCAGACTGCTAGTTCTCAGCACCTAAGGGTCACCTGCAGAGCTAAAAGAAATGCAGATTCCTAAATTCCACTCCCAGAGAGTCTAATAAACTCTTTCAAGGAGAGTCTGGAAATGCAAAGCTTAAGGATTTATTTTTTATTTCTATGACAGTTATAATTAAGGGAGGGAAAAAAATGCATGTTAGAGTTTTCAGAATCTTTTTACCTTACTCTACATTATGACAACTTTGCATGCTTGCATTTTTTAACATTTTTATTAATCCTGGTGGAAGCCTGTCAATAACATAAGCAAAGAAAAGTTATTATTGGATGGCATAACTGTCAGTCATCTTGGGATTGCTTAAGTGCAGGAAGGAGGTCACCTACGCAGACACAGGTTGTAACCAAGTTGTGGGCTTTATTGAAAAAACCCTTCTGAGTGATACAGTTCTTTGAGTTCTGAATCTTTCAAGCCAATTATAAGGAAAGCCTGTCAGTTACTTGGGGTATGGCAAGATTGGGAATCTTCCAGATCTTTGGCTAAGAATTCCTTCAAATAGCAGGTCTGGACTGGAGAGCAGGAATCTGCATTTGTACAAACAGCTTATTTGATTCTTGTGCACACTTTGAGAAACACTTCTAGAGAAAGGTCATTGTGTGAAAGAGCTCTGCAATGTTCAGTTCTTTTATACTATTAATAAAAAACACAGTAATTTTCAAATTGCTCCTGAGAGCCTTAAGGGTCCATAGATGTATCGCTGGAGCCATCCACCAGAAGCCAGCAAAGAACCTAGTGGTCCTAGTATTTTGTACCTTGATTCCACATCAGTACATCTGAGCCTTTATTTATATAATCATTTATAAAGGGGTAGCACATACATAAAGTTCATTTGAAGAAAAAGGAGTGTCACTGTTAACAGCAAAGCAAACCACCACTGTGAACAGTAACAACGTCTGAAAACTGCTAGATCAAACAGGTCATGGTAAAGCTCTCTGTGTCAGGCTCTACCGAAGCCCCTGCCTTTGTCTTTCCTATTCGCTGAAGCTATATTTTCTGTGATCCCCACCTGCTGACCAGGCCCACTGGTGCCACTGCCAATACTGTCTGGAGCAGGGAGCTCCTCAGCTCTAGTGAGCATCGGATTCCACGAGGCTGCCTGCAACAGTGCCTGGACCCTGCTGTCACTGGCAGGTTGCTGTGTTCCTAGTGGCAGACTTGGGTGGGTGCCCAGTTTCCTGGGGAGAGCCAGTAAAGCTTAAGAAGGAGGAAAGGCTTTGAAGTCAGACAGGCTTAGAGTCTAGACCTAATTTTGTTGTTTTCTAACTCTTTGATCTTAAGCAAACTATCTTATGTCTCAAGGTCTGCTTTGAAGTCTGAGCATAGAGCATTCACCATTTAGGGTTGTTATGAGGATTCAGTTAAACATGCAGAGCCTTGCACAGTACCTGGTATCAGAAGGTGCTTAATGAGTGGCAGCTTTCCTTAATTGTGGCTTAAGGCTTGTGTTGCCAAAGTGTGCTTGTCGCTTGATGTAACATCACTATACATTCCAGATTTCCCAGGGGTTTTGTATTTAGTTTCAGATGTAATTCAATGTTATTTGTAGGTAAAAGGTGTTTAATGTGATGGCACTTAGTTAAGTGTAAAATATTCAACAATGTTTCTTCATAATAGCTTAGGAGGGAAAAAAAGTTAACCAAAAGCTATCAGGGGTTTGAGGAAAATAATGGACAAGTCTGGGGGAATCAGACATTAAATAAAAGTTTATTACCTATCCCAGAAACCTTTGCCCAAATGTGTAACCATTTTTCAAATATGTAGTGCCAATCAAACCTCATTTCAGCTTGAACTCTCTGTTTTAACTCCTTGTAAGGAATTCTGTAGTAATATTAGATTTTAAGATTCAAATTGCAAGGCAACCTCCTTATTGTTACCATTGTCATTATTATCTAAATGTTATTGAAAGTTGCATGGCCAGACGTTATATTAAGCATTTCACATACTAATTTATTTAAACAGCAATGACTCTCTGTATTAGACAGTATTGCCATTCTTATTTCACCTGGATGGTATTGAGGCCTAGAGGTAGTTTGCCCCTGGTAACAAAGCTAGTGAGTGGCAGGATGACCCTCAGACCCTGGGTGTTCAACTCCAAGTCTACACTGAAGGTTAATTAACATCAAGCCACCTGATTACTTTGCCAGCCAGGGCTTCATCAGAAAAATGAAGAAGAGAGCTCTTCCTAACTCAGCACTGTCTCCCCCTTGGCCACCTCCACCGTGTCTCCTTTTCTTCTGGTTCGTCTATTCTCTCCATTAGCAATGATTCAACTCTCAGTGCTCGGGCATTTGAAAAATTAAAGAAAGGCAACATTATTATTCATTTCATTTTGAAGCAGCGGAAAGAGTGATTGTATTTCCAAGACTGAGATGTCTTTCCTTGACATGAACATAATAGCTATCAGTATTGAATGGTTTCACCAAGTGGATAACATGTATTGTTGCACGTAACACTTAGTTACCCTATGAGATATCATCACCCTATAGGAACCAAGGCATAGACACTTCGAGTTACTTTAATACGGTCACTTTGTTAAATGGTGGAGCCAGGAGTCTAGCCCTGATGATCTCATTGTGAAGTTTGTGCTCTTTATCTCTATACCACACTGTCTTTAGTTTTTGTAAGAGATTTACGTATTTCTCATTCACATTTGTCTTCCTTACATACTAAATAACTTGAAGCTTCACTTTATTTATTTATTTATTTACTTCCTTCCACTTTCCTACAGAGTCCAGTGTAATGTAGTTCATACAGCAAAGTCTCTGAGCAACCTCTAAGATCTTCTGCTGTACAAGAGGGAAGAAGAGGTGCATTTATGAGCTAAATAATACCACTAGCCACATTCTTTTGTCCTGCCCGTTCTTGGGGACAAACCCTCTCCCGTGGAGAAATCTCATAAATCTACAAAGGCGTGTGATTAGTCTCCCTTGGGTGTGTAGTTTATCCATTTGCTTTTATGTCTTCCTGTTAAGTATGGAACTGATTGACGTGATTATCTCTGACAGCATTGAGACTACTAAGAATTAACACAGCAGATGACTTGAAGAATTTCTCTGAGCAGAAGTACGCCTGCTGTAATCCATGTCATCTTGTTTACTCTTCGTTCTAAACATTCATCAGGTGAATGGCTGTGCTTTTTCTTTATGCTCTGTGAATGTTAGTGTCCATCTCTGCATTCCTTCAATTTTTATTGTCCTAGCAGGAAGACAGAGGCAACATGGGAGATTGTAAATAGTTTACTTCTAAACTTCCTTCTAGGAACTCTCCTCTTCTTGGAATCCTATTTGCAGTTACTGGTAGCAATTCACTCATTTATTAATTTTTTTTCTCTCACCAAACACTTATAGAGTGCCCAACACTGGGCTAGACCTCAACCTAAAAAGACAGACACGGTTTTCACCTTCATAAAATGTACAGCTTAGTGAATTCACCTAATAAGTATTTGCCTTCTAATGGTATTGAACTATACATACACTTTATAGTGTTCATATAATTTTCATAGTGTTAAATAGTAAAATCTAAGGATTTTCTACAAAGAGCATCTTATTTAATCCTGAATAAAAATCCCAAGGTAGAGATTGCTGTCAGACAATGTGTAGGTAAGGAAAAGGAGGCTTCAGGGGTAAATAACTCACTCAAGTATCATAGTCAGTAAGAGGCAGGTTTGGGATTTTTAACCCAAGTCTTCCTCAAAGAAGTCCAGTGTCCTTTCTCAGTACTACCGTGATATGACTTTAGTGTTGCTTCAAACTAGTATTTACATTTTAACCTGACTTTTAAAAATTTTCAGCTAATTTCTTTGCATTATGTGTTTATAGATGTCTTACACACAACTACTGACACAACATTGGGGATTCCTAGCTAAACCTTTTAGCCACTTGGATTATCCTCTATTTTCCATTCCAAAAACACCTCATGCGAGTGTGTCACAGCACTTCTTTGTGGGCCTTCAAAATCTTCTAGGACTTATTGAGTGATAGTTACGCTTGTGATTGTAAAAACATTTAAGCCTATGTTGAAAGTTGTTTGTTTTTTAGTGTAGTTATGTAACAAAATTCTCTGGTAAACTTAAGTGTGATAAAGATGGTGGTCTTTTCTTTATATTTGATTCATTTTTAAAGTTATATTAGACTAGTCCAACAGAAGTCTTTATGCAATGCAAGAGCGCACTACATACATTAAGCCCCATGCAACAGAGAGACAGAGAGAGAAAATAGATGCGCAGGTGAAATTCTAAACATTGTAAAGTTTCCCTTGAATCCTTCTAACCTGACAATGTCTAGCAAGTCAACAATGTAGGCTGTGTTAATGTTAAAAAGAGCTTTGTTAAAATAATAATATAATATGTCTGAAAACTTACTGATTGTAATACACTTAGTGATATAAAAAATATTATATAACAAATTATATGAGGGTTCTCATATGTTCCTGCAATGGGATTTGATAACATTTACCAGAATTAGACTGAAAATAATGGATTTCTGCTGCTTTAAATGCTTTTTGAAGCTACGTGGGTGAATAATTTAAAAAACTTAATTTCTCTTGAAGTCAAACTGACTAACATAAGCCTGATTCAGAATTATCTTTTGACTTTTTGTAGCTCATGTAGAATAAATATTCTCTAATTGGAACTCAGCTATTACCATTGACAGCAAGCAACTGTTTCATAATACCTTAAAGCAAGGTCATTACCAAAATCAAGTGATCTCAATTATTGTGAAAGTCCATGGTATTTATTTAAAGCACATTTACTGTGTATCTACTATAGGCATAAGGATAATGATTTATTGCATATAGTTTGGCTGCTGGCATCACAGTCACCTTTCCATTGATTTGAAAGCTATCTAATCTTTCTGTAAGATTAATACTTAGAATGTCGGCAAATCCATCCCATTACGTCTCTTGATACATTCATCCTCCAACCAGGGTAAGTGCAATGTTCCTTTAAATGCAAACGGAGGACTTTCCATGACTATGCAGTTTTGATCCCTGGAGTACCCATTAGCTCCATTCTTTCCCAGCGACTACGCTTTTAAGTATCTACAAATTTGTCCTATTTATGTATTCTCCTGATTCCCAGACCTCAAACATGTCTTACTTCTAGTTTCTGACTCCCTTCAGTCCTGAGTTGGAGTTGCTGTTACTTCCCATGTGGTCATCCCTAGAATTAAAGGGATCAGTCATTTTTGACACTTACTAACACAGCGGCCAAATAAGTGTAACCTCATACCAAGAGTTACAAATAATAGCTACCATTTATTGAGGGTTTATCATGTGTCAATTTGTATACTAGGTAATCACAAATTTAAATTAGTAATATAAAAATTTAAATGATTGATATACTGTTTAATAATTAAATTATTAATATTAATTATAAACTATTCATATAATCTACATAGTAGCCTGGTGATATATATATATACACCTATTTTATAGATGAGAAAGCAGAGGCTAAAGATATTAAAGTGACCAAAGTTACATCATAACCATCATACAGTAGCAGTCTTTGTTCTCTAGAATCTCAGTTTAAATTTAAAGGGCTATGTGAACAGGAATCAGTTGAGTATTATCCACAGTAAATAGAAAAGGAGCAGATGAGAGAGAATTTTGACCTTGGCTTTGGAAAGATTTCTGGAGGTGGCAGAATTGAGCTGAGTTTTGAATGGCGGAGATAACAGAGTCTTCATTAAAGTTTTACAGATCCATTCATATAAATCCTCCATGTTTCTTATTAAATCTATTGGTGTTATTATATACTTTTGAGTTATTGTGAATGGTATCATTTTTTTCATTACATCTTTTCCAACTGGTCATTGCTGGTATATAGGAAATCTATTGGTTTTATGACATTTATTTTATAATCTGCAACCTTGGCAAGCTCTCTTATTATTTCTACTACTTTTTATTCGATTCCCTTAGGTTGTCTGAGTAGGCAACAATCATATCAACTTCAAATGAAAATATACTTGGCTCCTTTTTTCCAAAATATATATCTCTTAAATTCCATCACAGCATTAAATAATATATGCAATAGCTAATATCCTCATCATTTTCTGAATTTTAATAGAAATACTTTAGAATTTCACAGTTGAATATAACATGGACTACTGGCTTAAAATGAAAGTTCTTCATCAAGTTAGGGAAGCTCCCACCTGATCCTAGGTAACTTAAGAGTTTTAAGCAGTAATGGTATCATTTTTTTCCTAGCATGTGTTAGAGGAAGAACAACAGGAGAGAAATCAAATGTGAAATCAAATTTTCTTAAACTGATGGAACTAAGCTGAAATGATCTTGAAGAGAATTGAATAGAAGTTAGTAGTAGTTTAGGAGAGATTAAGCTAGAGATACAGGTCTGTCAAGGGTCTGAACAACAGCAATTAAGTCAAATATAAAGAGTAAATGCACCATGCAAGGGCCAAGGCCAGCTAAATGAGCAATAAGCTCAAGGATGTTTACCTCGAGAGAGTGGAGGCCTGGGCATGTTTGAAGAGAGAGAGAGAGCCAATAAAGAAAAAATTTAAGCAAACCAGATAGAAGGAATTATTCATAGAGAAAAATCTGAGGAGGTGGGAAAGTGGGAGGTTTGGAAATAGACAGGGAGAATAAGACCAGGAGACAGATGTACGTTCATTTGTGTTGAAGTATATAAGAATATGCCCAAAGTATGCACATAGGTATTTTCTGGGAGGGAAAAAGAAAAATGGCTTCCAGCTTCTCAGAGAAATAACAGATGGGGTTATCTGCTCAGAAGATGAACTAGACAAAAGAATAGAAGGACAGTATGGCAATAACTACAATGTGGAATTTTCCGGAGAATTAATTAGGGGAGAAAATAATTTCTGAACAACAATTAGGAGCAACTGTCTGAATCTATCAAGGGCTATTGGGCTCGAAGGTGAGGTTCACTCAGTGTGTGACCTTCTCTAACTGTTTTATAGGGCATGGGGTGATCCAGGACTGAGGACTGGCACAGGCAATGGGAAGCAGTCCAAGGAGGCAAAGGAATGCCGACCAAAACATCAGACATCAGAGAGAGGGCTGACCAAGGCAGCAAGCCCAGGGAGAAATTCAACAATGATCTAGTAGATTATTATGGATTGCATATATCCAGCCTTTACATGTGCAAGTTAACAGGGGAGAAATCAACCTAATGGCTAAAATCTTTCACTGTGTATTCTCAGCTTAGACATCCATCAATAGGGTTGGCTCCTGAGCTACCCAAATCTCAGTAGTAGATGTTCTGTTAACCATAGTTTATCTTTGAGTTGCCTTTACTGTGGCACTGCTATATATTTTTGTTCCCACCCAGTAATGTGAAAAAGAAATTGAACTTATTATGATCAGTAAGTTTAGATTTTTAACCTTATTTCTGCCACACAGTTGTGTAACTTGGGGAAGATTTTATCTTTTTAGAATCTCAATTCCCTCACCTCTTAAAGAGAGGAAATGGAGACAGAAGGAGGGAAGGAGGGAAAGCAGAAGGGAAGAGAGAGAGAGCTATTAAAGTAGATGCACTTAGTGATGTCCTCCCAGTCCCAACAATCCAAAGCCATAAACCAATGAACATTTTCTGTGGTCTTAGAGTGCTTTTAACATTATTTTGCTTAAAATCCTTTTCTTCCTCTGTAACTCTTCTTCATGAAAATCGTCCATCTTGTCTCCATTTTCTTCTGTATTTAAAAATCTCCTCCTCTTCATTCTTCCATCTCGTCCTCCTCCTCTTCCTCTGACACATGCTAGGAAAGATTAAAACCATGATATCTCTAATAAAATTATTTATTTTATTATACAAACCATTTCCTTCTTTTCCATGGTTCCCTCTTTTCATTAGGGTATCTCTTTACTATTTTTAAAAGATAAAGGTATCATTTTTATTGCCATCATTATTATTATTACAGCTTTGATACTGCTACAAGGCCTATATATGAAAATTACCCTCACTTCTAATATCTCATTTAGTTAGATTCTTCCTAGTGAGACTAGCAGAACTCCACAGGGCCTGGAGGAGGTCAAACTTTTATTTCAAGGGTCACCCAATGAATATTGCTATTCATCAGTCAAGAGGGAAGAGGTGAATTTGTTCCAAGTTCTAATTAAGAGCAAAAAAGCCAGATGCTTATGCAACAGATGTTTAGTAATTAAAGAACTAATGATTGATTGGTAACTTTATTATAACACTTCTGGCAAAGGATGGTCCTTATCATTAGTGTTACTTAAAGATAAATTGGTGATTATAGGTATTTTCCTAAATAAATGTAAAGATTCTCACTGAATGTGTTAAGAAACAGACACAGAATTTGGTCCACCTACAAAGTGGTAAGATAGATCTAATCCTGTCAAAACAAGAACAAGGGCTTAAATGTGTTCGTTTAATTTTATTTCAATGTTTAAGTTAATATCTTATCTAGTCCCACCCCGTAGTAAAAACTCTGAGCAACTTAAGAAAGGTAATAAAGTACAGCATGATAAAGTAAGTCTGGATGTTCATATGCTCATACTGCAATATATTAGCAGTAATTATCTGAATGATGGGGAGATCTTTAATTTTCCTTAAAAAATTATTGTGTATCTGCATTCTCTAAATTTCATAGCAATTAACATGTATCAATAATATGGTATAAATAATACACATAAAGGTTAAAGGAGCAATTACTTAAAATGAAGTCAAAAGTGAGATTACTGTTCAGAATGCATGCTCTGAAGTCATTTAATGCTTGCTTGCTGCCAACCACAAATTTAACTGAGTTTTGTGCCATCCGGTGCAAAAAGGAAAACACAACCAATTCCATAATCCAGAAGGTGTATGAGGTTAAAATCCCATCCATTTTTCAAGAGAGGCACATGTGATCCTGTTACTGATAACTTAAAAAATATCCTTAACCTGGGTTACACTGTAATGTAAGAAATAAAAACCCTAACAACCTTCTCCTGGAAGGTACAGTGATGAATTTCGTGAAGTGGTCTGTGTATCCCTCAGTTCAAACTAGTGACTTTTTTCCACAGAATAATTCAGTGTAAAGCAATTGCCTAGAGGGTTGACATGGTGTCCATAGTGTATTGGACTGACTGATGGCTGTCTTATTCCAGGCCTAGGTTTTAGAGTGATCAGAGGAATGGATATACTGCATAATCTTCAAGAAATCCTACATAAATATTGTTTCTTTCATTCAAACTTTTAATAGATAAGCAATAACGAATTTATTATTATCCTTTCTGGCAAACCTTGAGAATGCAGTCATCTGAGGAGACTAGTTAATACTTAGACATGCTTTCTTGTAGTGGAAGAATGAATATTCTTTTATCAATTTAAAGATCTTAGCAAGGACAGATGCATGAATAGATGGCCATCCCATCTCTCTCAGAGGCTGTCAGAATAAACACTTATGGGAAAACCAGCCAGTGCTCTCCTTACAAAGCAATCTTGGTTTTATTTTAATACCCTTGAATGGGGTTGAACTTTATCTTGAAAGGGCAAAGTTAAAAACTGCATTTAAATATAGTATTTTTAAAAATTCAGATTTGATACTATGTCTTCTTCCAGCTTCCCCTAAAGTTAACATCTTACATGGCTATGGTACACTTGGCAAGCCAAGAAATTAATCTCATTACAATGCTATTGACTGAACTATGGACTTTGTCTTTCCACTAATGTTCTTTTTCTGTTGAAGGATTTGACCCAGGACACCACTGTGATGTAATCATCGTGTCCCCTGAGTCTCCTCCAATCTGTAGTTTCTTGATCCTCCCCTATTTTTATGTGTTGAGATTTTCAAAGAGCCCAGGTTAGATTTCTTTGTAAAATATATCTCAGTTTGGGTTCGTCTGTTTTCTTATGATTCAACTGAAGTTATGGATTGGGGGGAAACCTACCGAGGAGGTGAATTGACTTTTTCATTGTATCATACCGTGCTGGGTACATACTATCAACATGATTTATCACTGGCTAACCTGTATCACTTGGTTAAGGTGGTGTTTGTCATGTCTCTACACTCTTAAGTTATTAGTTTTCTTTTTCATTCTCTCTTCTTTGGAAGTGAGTTGCTAAATTCAACCAAAGCTCAAGGAGAGAGGAAAGCTCTGCTTCCTGGAGCAAGGAATATCTACATATATTCCTGAGAATTATTGTCTGTGAAGATTTGTCCCTTCTCCATTTATTTCTTTTTCAGTTATTTATTAACATTATTATGTACACATGGGTATTTGTTTGATTCATTGGGTTTTAAGCCACTGTTCTCGTTATTGATTTTGTTGCTCAGATTTTTCCAGTTTTGTTCATTGGGAGCTCTGTCAGGTTGATTCCTGTGTGTCCGTGTGTCTATCCCTTTTTTTCTCTTTTTCTTTTTCTCTTTCAATTTTATTGCATTTTCTTTCTGACACTACAAGGTACTCTAGACTTATCTTTATTTTTCCTGCACTAGCCCAAGAATTAGCCACATCTCTAAGGAGCCCTGTTACCTAATTTTTTATTCATGAATTCAGAAACTTAAAATGAGGTTTATTTTCACTTAAGTATCTCAAGGCTGATGCAAATTTGCAGATGGTCCATCTTATGCATGTGGATCTTCCCTTGATCTTTTAACTTTCACAGTGTCAGAAATTGTATCTGACATGCAATTGAAGAACTTACCAGTTATCAGAAAGCTTCTGTTTTTAACCAGATAAATGCCATTTATACAAGCTCTAAAATGGTGCATATTATTCCTGTTCAGTCATATCTTTTGTGACCAAGAATGGTTTAATTAAATTCTCCTCTAAGAAATAGTGCAATGCCAGTTTATGTTTTTGAATTTAGTGGAGATGAGTGTAAATTTCTTAGCTTGCACTTTCTAAATATGTTTCCTAGTTTATCTGTCCTGAAATATGGTACCAACATTGTTGAGGTCTAGACAGCTGGCTAAAGTTAAATGCAAGCTATTTTTCCCTATGAGCCATATGCTCTGGGAATCACTTTGCTGATAGATTTATAACCCTTTGCTATGATCAGGAGGAAAGTAGGTGTGTCTCTAAAATATACCATACATAATCCAGGCACGACCAGGGAGAGCAACAATTTATTGCCACTTCTTCAGTCTTATGAATACAAAAGGGGCAGGAAGTAGATTGTCAACATGAAAAAGACTCTAGCTGTGTTTTCAGGAGACCATATTTTTTTCTGAATAAATGTTTCTTTATTTAATCCATTTCTTTAAAATAGTACTGCAACCTTCCTGTATAAGTTGAATTTGCTTCTCTAACACCCACATCAAAATTTCTCCCAGCACAATATCCCAACATTAAAAATTTAGGTAAAAAATCTTTTTCTTAATAACCTTATAGTCTCCATGATGCAATGTTTATTTGATTTAGTGCTCCATTATGTACTCTTTACTGATCAATTGCTTTGGCAATGGTCAAAAATCAGTAGTTTCATTGTCATGTTCCTTAATTTTAATGGCCTATATACTACTAGGAGACATAAACTGGGCATATATAACAGTAGAAATAGGTTGGGGAAGGAACTAATTCATGCTAATGTTTGAACATAGAGAACCAGTCTGGCCTTAAAAACCCATTCATCAAAACCTTTGTTCCAACACTTCTGCTTTTGCATTATTGGAAGAAATTTCTGATAATCTCATTTCCTGTAGAGTCTAAATGGGCCACAGTGGTCAAGTTTCTATTCCGCCTCATCATTCACAATGTCTTTAGTTCCATGGAAACAGCAAAACAGAGAGAGGAAGAAAGGTAGTTCCTGATAATAATGGTAATTGTATCACCAGGCTTATACATTACAAATTGCCTTCTTATACTCCACCTCTTTAGAGATTCCTAATCAATTTTGCCTGGACACTGACTCAAGTAGAGCATCTTGCGTATTGTTTCAAACACCCAAGTGCTTTCACTAATAGCAGGACCAGAGTACCAAGTAAGGGTGAATCTCTAGGTCTTCTTTAAGGATCTAAGTAGCTTGAGGGCTTCCAGGAAAGATAACTCTCCCTTGACCAGAAGACTTCCATAAAGTACAATTAGTCAAAGATACCAGAACATAAAGAGTACCCGAATACAATGGGGGCAGGGGGTGGGGGTTTAGTGGAATGACATCAATTGTATTGAAGAATGGACAAATATGAAAGGCCTCAACAAGAACATAAAAGCATCATAGTTGCTATTATTGTTTCCAGTTTTATTATTAGGTGAACAGCCAAGGAGATACCATAGATAGAACACGAGAGGTTTATGGTGTCAGAGATCTCATGAAGCAGCCAAGTTCAACTAAACTTCCTCATTCTAATAGCACCAATGTCAGCCGAAGATGTACTTAGTACAACAGAAGTCTCAGTTTTCAAAGTCAGTGGTAACCTTAGAGATTTCCCCATTTTTCAAATAAAATGAGACTTGTCCACTTTCACTCAAACTGTCTCTCCTACTTTTAAAGCCTCCACAGAAAGATAATGGAACTCTTCTCTATGACTCCTCTCAGAGTTCATCATTGTTGACTGTCACAGTTTTCTACTGATGTCTAGCTTGAGTATCTCATGCTGCAGTTTACGCTCCTTCCCTTAACAAATAGGAAAAGCAAGATACGCATATTCTTGTTGTGCATTTTGCTATCTCAATGGAACATTCTTCAACTTACAGATATATGATTTGGGGAAAAACTGTTTTTAGAGCTGACAGAAAAAAAATCACCTGATTCACACTCCATTAACTCTTCTTTTTTAAGAAAGTCGTTTTTCCAGTCTTCCACTGAGCTGAA